ATTTTTAAAATGTTTGTGAAGTATGGGGATTTATCACTGCTGTCTATGGGAATTTATTTGTAGTGGTGCACCCCAGAGCAGGCACAAAGATCACGTGATGGCTAAACGAACGCTCTCGTGTAAGTTTGACTTACACGTGTAAGCTAATCGCACGCACTCAAAGGCAATTGTTTCGTTGCGAGTAATGCGCATGCATTTAACGCGCTGCTACCATTGTTTCGCCCATTGTTTGCCCATACTTTTCAAAATCACGGTTATACGCGCATGACTGGCGGTCTGTGCTTTTATGTGGCCGTGTCCAAATCACTTGGCTAAGGCCGGAAATTACACACATCTCCATGGTAAATGGCCGCGGCCGCTACCATAGAATCGTGCGTAATTTCAAGCCGCAGCCAAGTGATTCGGGCACGGCCTCAGTCTGTCAGTGAGTTTGAGCCAGTTCACTAACGTAACTGACGTTACGTTCATGTATATTCATCCCGAATAGCCAATCAGCGTCATTTTCGTATTCTACACGACCACGGCTTGTGAAGGAACGCGCACGCTGCCTACGGAGTCGAGGATGCGAATGGCCTTGCTCTTTGAAATAGGCCTACCGAACAGGCTCATTATGCTTTCGACTAATAAATTGCTCTCGAGATTCTCCACGGATCGGATTTGTGCATCTAAAGAATGCCTTCAGAAACTGATCAGTGGACAAGGTGCATTCGACAATTTCTGTGCAAAATGAAATCGAGTCATAACTTAATAACAACTCGAGTGTGAGGTTTTACCTAGTCTTGGTTTCAAGACGTTAGTGCTTGATAGCGGACACCGTGCATAGTGCGCCCCCTAACGACTCATAATTAGACTGTGCGTGGGAATTTTGCAGCAGCGTTTTAACTTGTTCTTCATTTTCCCCTCGCTTCCAAGGGAAGCAATCAGCACTCGCTAAATTGCATGCATGATAAATTTTGATGACCTCAATAATACAGCATGGTAAGGTCACATGCATCATGGATGTCTGCAGTCGGCCGACAACACAGACGTTCGTACGGAGTTAGCACGGAGTACAACAGGTGATACTCAGACCATGCTCAGACTAGGCCTAGGTTATGACAGAGGATGCTGTTCTTGGTGACCCATAATCATGTACAGTCAGCATGCCCTCCCCAGCTAACTAAAGCGTCCTTAGAGACCCATTCGAGGACGGAGTATCCGGACTGCAAGTAGGTTGTCGTTTTCTTGCTGCACGTGTAGGTGAATAATTTGGCCTCAGGCAGCACAATTGAGTTGCAAAAAAAGAGAACGTATTTCTTGCGCGGTGTCAGACAACGATTTTGTTTTCCCAGCTTTTCTGCCACAGATATCGCAAACATGATGCGATGCAGAAACAACTGTAGTCCCCGATGGTATCTTTTAGAAGAGTGGCAATTTCATGTCCAGCATGGAGTGAAAAATATGTCTTAATCCCTTCCCTCAAACCAGACACCATCGACAGACGACAGGGTACTTACTCGCGTGAAGCCGACATGTTGTTCGAACTTCGAAGTACATGTACATAATTATAGTACCAAGGCTATATAAATATTTAAGAAGATCGGTCATTTGCATATAACTGCCGCACCCCCATTCCTGCAAGATTCCCCAGACGTTATTGAGAGTAAGTAAAAACTAGTTGGGCGAGGGCTCCGCACTCTTCAACAGAAATAAGACAACTATCGATCACTGACGTCTTGGGCCAATACTAGGTTTTACCTTGTTTTCTACCGCTTTTTCTGTCCTTAACTTTATTGTTTGCTCACGATGTCGCCATCGCTTTCTGCATCCTCGTCTGAAATATCA